TCATGGATCTATTTCTTCTTACTTACAATCATCTTTGTAGAAAGCTCAGACTCATGTCTTTTTACATCATGCAGCTCCAAAATCCAGACAACAGCATACAGAGCAACTCTTTAGTCAATAGCCTTTGCGGACTGAGTGCGTTGCAAGGGGATCCTAAGAGCCAAACAGCACAGCCCCTGAGCTGGAGTCCAGCAAGCTCTCAGGTTGATGGGAGTGTCACTGCTATTAAAGCTTACTCATGTTTGCTTCTCTTGACAATGTTACATCACTATTTAGCACTATAACTTAACAACAGTCATCAGGTTGTTAATGCCACACTCAGGCTTTCCTTATTTTGTACCTGTAGCATTTCATTTTAGATCCTAAATGTCCACTTCAACTTAATCATTTATCATACTCATTTTAAATTCTTTTTCTGACATTTGCTTAACAACTATCTCTTCCTCCTGCCTGATTTAGCAGTATCTACAAATGTAGCCAACTATTCATTCAATACTGGATTTCAAGTCATGTGGGACATCTCTCTTACATCTCCTACTATCGATAGAACCCCATGGTAAAGTGTTAAATTGTGTAAGGCTATTTCTCTAACTGCACTAGAACAGGAATCAGCAAACTTTTACTAAAAAGAGACTGAGAGTAAATATTTTAGATTTTTCAGGCCGTATTATCTCTGTTGCAACTATTCAATTCTGCCATCATAGCATAAAAGCAGCCATAGACAAAACATAAGCAAATGTGCATGGCTATATTCCAGTAACAGCTTGATTTATGAACACTAAAATTTGAATTTCATATAATTTTCACATGACAAAATATTATTTTTCCTGTGTTTTTTTCTTACCATTTAAACATCTAAAAATCATTCCTAGCTCATAAACTGTACAAAAATAGGTTAGGATTTGACAAGACTGCTAGCAGCATATAGAGATTAATACTTATGTTAACATATTGTGAGCCAGCTATAATTCTGATAAGGGATTAGTATCTGAAATATATAAAGAACTCTTACAATTCAATAGCAAAAACACAAAAAATCCAATTAAGTGGGCAGAGGAACTGAAAAGAGATTTTTCTAAGGAAGACATGCAGATGTCCAGGGGACACATGAAACGGTGCTCAACATCTCTGATCATGAGAGAACTAAACAAATTAAAACACAATAAGATATCACTTCACACCATTAGAATGGCTATCATCAAAAAGAGAAGAGATGAGTGTTGACAAGTGTGTGGTGAAAAGACAACCCCTGTGCACTGTTGGTGGGAATGTAATTGGTACACCCACTATGGTAAACAGTATGGAGGCTCCTCAAAAAATATAAAAACAGAAATACTATATTATCAAGAAATTCCATGACTGGGTTTTTATCCAAAGGAAATGAAATCACTGTGTCAAAGAGATATCTGCACTGCCAAGTTCACTGCAGCATTATTTATAATGTTCAGATTTTCATATTTCCCTTCACCCTTCAAACTTCAGCTTCATTAAATGTTCACAGAAAAAATATATATGAAAAGAGTTTTGACTCTTCATTAATAATAAACAGTTGAGGCAGTGAGTGCTGGCCACTCCCTCTGTTACCCTTGGCTCTGAAGTTTGATTGGCCATGTTGATTGCTTCCTCTCTTGGGTGATTTCAATGTAGGCCCCACAGTCCAGGTCCATGGTACTTGGTTTCTAGTTTGGTTACCTTCTTCTGTGAGTTAAATAAATATAAAAATAGAAATACTATATGATCCAGGACAGATTCTGGATAAACCCCTTTTCAAGAGGAATTTTGAGCTAGTAAGATGAATTGAGGAGGAGGATAAAGAAATGGAGAAATTACCTGCGGTAGAAAATTTAAAGTGGCCTCCCAGACAACTGGCCTCATTAAGACTTTGGACCTGAAAACACCACACCCTGGAAGACAAAAAAATCTGTATCCTGTGTACTTAGTCATTTTGGATGTTACTCAAGTTTGGATGATACGCTGTTGTCTAAACCTTCCTGGTTTCCCAGGGACCTCCACTCCTTTGTTCATCCTGTCCTCAGGTGTATCTGTTCCTGGCTTCTGCCTATGCTGGGGATTTCTGAGTCTCTGCCTCCATCACTTGCCTCTACCTCCATTGTAGTAGCTGTCCCATGGCTGTCCTTTTGAATTAAGGAGTCTCTTTCCTTGGTGTTCTGTCCTTTTCAAATGGCAAAGTTGGGTTCTTGGGAGAATAATGCAAATTAAAACCAGAAGGTACTATGTTTCATGTCAAATCAATAATGAATATATATATTTAATGTAGATTTATGGACATTATATTTACTGTATAAAATATATTAAATATTAATAAATAACATATTTAATATATATAACATATATATCTGTATATATTTAATGCTATTAAGTGTCAGGAAACACATTCTCACATAATGCAGATGTATGTGTAAAGCCAGAACACTAGATAGCCCTATTGGGATACATAGTTTGACAACATATGTCAAAGAGCCTTAAAATTGATTGTATCCTTTAACTGCATTGCCCATTTCTAGAAATATATTCCAGCAGAAGAATCCTTAATATAGAAAAAAGCTTTCAGCAGAAAGATATTCATTATAACATAATTATGACAGAAAAAAAAGACCTGAATATCCAACTATGGGGGAAAAATAAGAAACTAAACTGCATATAGTTGATGCGTTGTGTATTTATAATACAAAGAAAAACTTAAAAAGCTGGATAAACAGTTGTGTGTACATTAATATTCCCACTATTATTAAAAAGGATAGTTGCATAGTAAAACACTGGAGGAAATATTCCAAATATTAGTTAACTTCCTCTTCATACCTTTATGCATTTGATAAGTACTACTCTATATACACTGATATAATCAGGGAGACAATCTGTACAGTAGTACATGATTAAATACTGCACATACACTGGTATAATTAGGGAGAAAGTTTAGTGATATGTTACTTAGAGAAAAGAGCTGAACATAAAATTGCATGTATAAAAACATGCAATGATTAAGAAAAAGCAAAACTTTATCAAGGGCATCATTTAAATACCCACAGGAGCCATAAACATACAAAATGAACTGCACTGGGACAATGATAAATGTACAAGCATGTGCCCCTCTAAGGGTTCCTGCCTCTCCTTAGCGCCTGCCATTTGGAAACACATGTTCAATTTTTAAGAAAAAATCATAAATCTGAATTTTATGTGAAATCTCCTGATTTTTTTCATGTAAAAATCTAATTTAAATTATAAATATCTCGGATGGGCTAAATAAAACATTGCAGATTATCTGCAAACCAAAGGCCTTTCACTTATGTCTTCTGCTCTATAGCTGCATCTTCTGCTCACACACCCACACATAAAGTGGCCTAAGAATCCAGCCAAAATGGAAAGTCATCATGGCTGGGTGACTGGACTCTGGTGATTACTACTATTTTCTACACTTCCTATACTCTAATTTGCATTAATATGTACAGATGCTTATATAATGGAGATGTTTAAAGCATTATTTTTCACCAAAGTATAGAGTTTTTTTTTTTAAGATTCCTCAGGATCTAGAGCTTGTTTTTGTTATTCTTCTCTACACATTAGAGCCACCAACTTAAACTGTCAATTGTTCTTAAAGGGATGTTACAGCACTGACAGATCATAGGCATACACAAGACATAAAAACGCCAGCATAAAAAATGACAACCATGTGAAGTGGACAGTAAAATAGGATGTCATTTCAGTGTTGCTGCCTAGTCACTCTCTCACTGCCCACCTCCTACCTTCGTCCCACAGAAACCCAATCAGAAGGAATTATCTCCCTTGAGCCCACTTTATTACAAGAGTGCAGTCTGGGAGGGGAGAGGAGGCCGTAGCTAAGCTTTTGAGAACTTCTAATAGTGCAAGAAGAAGTGATGGCTTGGAAAAAGTCAACGGTTCTACATTTTAACCCAGATCATTTCAATAATTCTACTTTGAAAGCTGAGCTGTTTATAGACATTAAGGGGGAAAAAAGGTAACGAAAGAGCATCTGCAATTCTACTCAAGACAGAGCTGCAGATGTTGGAGAAAGAGTTTAAAGGAAGTTAGATTTGCTCTTCTACAAGTTCAAGGGCAACTAAGGGGGCCCTTTTTAGCCTCCTTTATATTTTCCTTGTAACTTCAAAGGGGCAGTTCAGGTTTCACTTTGTGCCTAGAGGTAGCATGCCCTATGCATGGCACGAGTCATGTTTTCATCCATTCTTTTGCTTCTCCTTGAGAAGTACCCTGTTTTCAGGCCTGTTCTAAGAGCCCTGGGTGCCTTTCTGCTTTGGCTTAACAGTAAAGTGTTGGGGGAGGAGCATTTTCCAGGGAGTCCTGGGTAACTGTGGTGCACAGGGGACGGTAAGGTGAGTGTTTGGGGGAGGGGCTTGCATACTTCTAAACTTCTGCCAGAACAGCTTGAAGTTGCCAGAACATTGCCTTGAAAGGTTACATGGTTTGTCTCAATGACGTGCTGGTAAACGTTTAACAACCAGTTCTCTGAGAAAGAGAGAGCCCTGATTTACATTTGCTGGGTTTTGGGGTGTAAATACTTCCACCATAGCTGATTTCAAGCGGCCAACCTGATGTCACTGAAGGCAGAACCAGCAAGGGATGCACACAGTGGGCTCCTCCAGCACACCCCGGGTTTAGCTCTTCTGCTCCAAAATGGACGAGCCAAAAGGTCTGTGGCTTTCCAGTATGATGGCTCAGACCTATAAGGAGCTCTTGCTATGAAGTCCAGCTCTATTCTCTGCTGTTGCTTTAACCACCTTTGATTAGACACAGTCTTACTCTGTGATCTTTTTTAGCTTATCAGGTTATAATTTTACCTCAATACATTTACTGTTATAGCTCTCTTCCTATATTTAATCTTTTTTATTTAATTGATTTTATTCCTTTACCATTATTTATTTCAAATGAGGAACACTGAATTTGCAATCACCCTGTTCCTAAAAAAGTTAGAGAGTTCATACCATGCTCAGCATTAAGAGATCCTCCTGCTCGCATCGGCAGCACGTGGGCTAACGTGGGAACAATACAGAGATCAGCGTGGCCCTTGGGCAAGCAGGACGTGCAAATTCATGAAGCAATCCGTATTTTTTCTAGGGACCATCTTTCTATAAGGTGGTGCCAGATGACTCCGACATGCTAGACTGAGGATGGCTTTTTCCTCTGAGTTAGCTCTGTCACTGCTATCAACATCATAAGCTTTCCCAGAAAATACTGAAACAACACGGATGGGATACGTATTGCTCTGAAAGTCAAAGTCTCACCTCACCACTAGCTTCTTAGGTGACCTGCTACATGTCACTTAAGCCTCTGAGGAGCATTATTTTTCCTAAATTGGTCCTCAAGCAACAAACGGTTGCTACATGTAACCCCCAAGGTCAAAATATAATGAATTGACAATTCTCTCAGTTGGATCTGCCCCTTCTTCTCCAACCAGCGCCCTAGAGTAAAATAACCTACACGCCGCTGGGGTTGAGGAAGGGCTATGGTTTCCTTCTTGTGTTGATTTGTAGTCTGTCAGGAAATGCACATCCCAGGCTCATCAGGAACTACTGAACTTTTATAGGAAGCATAAAATTCATCGTCCTTGTTTCATCTTTACCATCACTGTGGTAACCTGGCATTTCATGCCCTTTCTCTATTCATGTATGCCTGGACCTTTGCTGTCTTCTTTCTAAACAGATCCTTCTCCATCACCATCCTTGTCATCTTCTGTATGTTAAATCCCTTCATTTACCCTCGATTTCTGAGTATCTATGCAACTAAGAATTAAAGAGAGAAAAAAAGAGGTCCTCTCGATTGATTTAAAATAGTTGTGAGGGTCGAAATACAAATACATTTAATTTTTACTACATAAGTAAAACATGTTCTTTGCAGAATATTAGGTAATATGTCTAGCAAAAGAAGAATAAAAACATAAGCAAAATGAAATAAAAACCACCCATCATTCTAAAAAGCAGATATAACCAGTATAAATAACTGGCATATATCACCACTAGTCCTGGGCCTTCCTATTAGATGAGTTAGCACAGTGGTCAGGAAAGGTATTCCAGGACACAACACAAATGTCTATCGACTGATGAGTGGATAAACAAAATGGTGCATTGCTTAGCCTTTGAAAGGAAGACAGTACTGATTTATGCTATAACATGGAGGAACCTTGAAAACATTATGTTAAGTGAAAAAAAGGCTGCATGTGGTGTGATCCCATTTAACTGAATTATCCGGAGTGAACAGCTCAGAGATAAGAAGGTAAGGTAGGAAGGAATCCAGAGATTAGGAGCTGGCTGGCAGCAAGGGAGGGATACAGTGGAGAGTCATCACTATTGGGATTTCTGGTGGGTGATGAAATTATTCTAGAATTAGATAGTTGTGATAGCTGCACAACTAGTGAACATACTAAAACCCCTACCTTGTATGCTGTAAAAGGAACAATGTTATGGCATATGAATTATATCTCAGTTTAAAAAAAAGGCATTCTGAAAACTACATTCAGACAACTAGAAACAACTGTGCCCAGAAGTGCCTGCAAACAATAAAAATATATCACATTGAACCCAAACACACTGTATCTTTAACATCCCTTTAGCCAGATCCCAAAATACCCTTGGCTGCAGCGTGGTATGAAAGGAATGGTGATGGAGGGAAGTCAGCACAGACGGAGACATTGGTTACTTTTGCAAATTTTACAAAAACATATGACCAAGTGAACACATACACATTGCCAGGCCCTAAAAGGGGCTCCTGCAAGTGAGAGCAGTGAGGTTCAAGTGCTACAGTTAACCCTTTCACACCTAAACCCCCAACCCCACATCTTCACCCCACCCCTCTGTAGGCCACACACATTAAATCTTAGAAAATGGTCAAGTGGGCCTGAATCGTTTTATAGTTTCTCTAAAGGAAACAAAGCAGTGATTTCTCAATGAAGTTATTAATCCTGTTTACATTGTACCTGAGTAGATGGACACATTTACCCTAAAAACAAAGCTTTCTTTTCTTGTTCAGGACTTTGTAATTTTCTCCCTTCTCCATGAAATAGGGAGTAGCATCTGAGTGGAATATTTCTCAACAGAGTCTGCCCCTGCCCAGGGGAATAAAATCCTAAATTTCATTTCACCACCAAGGCCTAATGAGAACTCCAGACCATTGGAATCCTCTGCATGGTTAACTCAGCCTCTCAGGCTGACCCTTCCCCTAGTGGAACCTCTCCCCACAGCCACAGACCCAGTTATGCCCAGTACCTGGCTGGTTCCTTCTCCAGCCTCTCTCCTGCTCAGCTAGATTGGACTCAGGGGTCCAATCTAGCCAAAGCTGAGACTTTCATTTTAAGATGGTAGACCAAGTACAATTGCAGTTTCCTCCAAATTCCTAGAAATAGTTGTGCTTAGAAACTAGATCAAGAATTTGGTCACAAATATCTTAAAAAAGTTGAGGAAGTTGGATTAAAAAGGAAATTTGTAGTCCAGGCTCATCTGCGACTGCTGAGAAAGGTAGGAACAGAATAAGCAAGTGGTTCACCTGAGGCTGTGTAAACTGGCCACAGAAAGGGGTCCAGGGCAATGCATGAATGGGGTGTAGATGCCACAGCGACAGAAGCCAGGCAGCAGTCATGGGATGTTTGCCTCCAGGTCCCATCAGCTCAGAGACAGGGCAGCAGGTGGCTGGTGACCCTGGCAGGGAGTGGTGAGTACTAACATCCAACGGACTAACCAGGTGACGCATCCTGCCCTCCCTCTTCCGGAAAGTAGGCTGGAATGCAAGTCACAACTCTTGCCTTTTCCCAGGCAAGCCACACAAACAGATGAGACAGAGAAGCTAACAGGGGCTCTCAGCCACAAACGTAAGCACACAACCAACAAGTAAGAAGTATTCAAGAAAATCAACCTTCATGAATGGAGATAATGAACTAAAGAAATGGAAGAACTTATGTATGATAAAACAAAGTTAATGGAACAATGAAAATAGCCCTTAAAGACTAAGGCGAGGCTCCCTGATTCACCATTCTTTCCCCTTCTCACATTGCAATCCACTCCTAAATTGGACACTCTCTATATAATAAGAACATTTTAAGGACATTTCTTTACTTTCCCAAATAAAAACTATTTGGGGGCAAAACTTGCATTACAGTAAGGAAGTTCCACACAAATAGATACCTACTTCACTGCTTCATTTCCTATTTTGAAGAAGGGCCTCAACATCCACCCTAACCCTGCACTTTATCTTTATGTAAGGCAACCATCATCTGCCTCTAAAACCATTGCACCAGCTTGCTAACTCTCCCTACTGTCTCCAGGCTCCACTCCTTCCACCCTCCTATCCATTCTCGGCAAGTTAGCCAGATTTTAAAATGCAAAATCTGGTTATACCCCACTGGCTGCTCCAGGATGTTTCAAAGTCTTTTCTTAGCTCTTTGTATCACGTTCCATTCACATTCTTTAAAATAGCCTTCAAAACCTTGCGGGACTTGGCTCTGCCTCTTTGCCCAGTCTTACGTCTTGACACTTCACAACCACTCTGAATCCTTTTGTTCTATGACCCGCTCATAGCAAACTTCTTGCACTTGTTCCTCTGTTCTCCAGGCTGTTCTCTGTGCTAGAAACAGTTTTCTTTTACCTTTGCACAAAACCAACCTCAATTTATCCTTCAGATTTCAGCTCTAGGAATCCTTTCTGGGCCTCCAGAGCCAGCAGTGCCTCTCCTGTACTCCCATACGACACTATGTACCTCATTCTGCATCTGTCTTTCTGCACCCTGTGTATTTTTGTTCAAACCTCATTTACCATATAAGCCCCAGAAGAGACTTCTTTGTTCTCTGTTTTATCCACATGAAGCATGGGAAACACACAATGACAGCCTCTTGAGTAAATGAGCCGTCTAGTGCCTTTATCTGTTCTTTTGCAGGACACTCTGAACAAATTCAGAACCTAAGAGAAATGTGCCCATTTTTTAAACCTTTAACAGAAATAGATTTGCAGAATGTTGTCATCCACTTAGAGATCATCCACTCATTCAACAAATTCATTCAGCAAATACTATGGAAGGTCAGGAATATTCCAAATGCTGGTTATAAACAGAACAGACACAAATCTTGTGGAGTATAATTTCATAGGAAATTTCACCACCATCAGCTGCTGCTTCCTCATCTGTCTCCTCCTCAAGACCAATTTGAGATTCTGCAGAATCTTCCCCAACTGCTGATGAGTGCTGTTGGTATAGGGCACTGTGTTTCATAACCATACTTCTAGCTTCTATTTCATTTTTAATTTTAAACTTTTGACTATGGAAGATTTCAAATATATAAAAGTAGAGCAAACAGGTTAATAAGCTCCTGTATATCTAACACATCAGCATTTGTCCAGATCATCTCATTTATACCTCCCACACACTTTGCACTACCCACTGGATTATTTCAAAGCAAAAAATAATAAAGCAGACATCCAGTCATTTCATCCATAAATCCTCTTCAAAAGAAGAGGGTTTTCATATGGACTTGAGAATGGATAGATCATAGGTGGAGAGGAAGCAGTGTGGCGTCCTGCAGGAGAGTGAAAGCACAAGAAAAGGCTTGGACTGGACACACGGCACCCACAGCAGCAGGAGGAAACTGTTCTGGATGGTGAGGTCAGACAGAGCAGGTGGAAATAACTTTGGAAAGTTTCAAATGCCAGTCAGAGGACGTGGATTACTACAGGGAAAGTTAGATATTGATACAAAGTATTAGGTATGATATGAGTCAAGCTGTGTTTGAATAAGAATCATCTGGGGTAGCAGTAGACCCAAGGTACCCAAGGAAAAACAATGAGTTGAGGGCAGAAGAGCGTAAAGAGGTCCATTATAATCATCACATGAAGCCCAGACCACTGTGGTGATGGCAGATATGGAGAGGAGGGATGGATTAAGATACATTGTAAAGGCTGAAAGAACAGAATTTGTTGCCTGGCTCCATAGAGTGGTTAAGGAAAAAACAAGAGATGATCTGAGGCTCCAAGTCTGCACAGCATGAGGACTGGAAGTACCATTCACAAAGTCAAAGAAAATGGGAGGGAGAATCTCTATGGGAGATTTTAAGTTTTATTTTGAATTTAATAATGG